TAATAGATAAAAAGTTATCTGACTGGACTGTCTGGTATTACTATATTCAATTAGAGGTGTTATATCAGTGCTCTAAGAGTTGTAATGTGTATTTAATATGACAATGTGCCCATTCAAATTCAAACTTCAAAACATACAGATGTACATAGTGAAAGTATAAATGCAGATTGAAAATAGGCTTATTTTTCATAATTATGTACTGATCAGTATATTACACTTTTGTAAATAATGTTTATTAGTTATCATACTTATAAATATAAATAAATAATAAATTAGATACTTTAGCTCAAACATCAGCTTTAGTACATTTCTCTTGAAATTTACAATTGACTTTTTAAAATTGATCGAATTAGCTTTTAACATAGTCCCTTTGAAAATGCCCAGGAAATGCCATTTCCGGCTCTACATTTTCAAAATTTTTCTGGAGGAGTACCCCCATACCCCCGCATCGGCTACATATTTCTGCAGTGGCAACGTTTGGGAGGCCACTACGGCCCTGGTGGCAGGATTCATCAACGTGCGTAAAGTGTATTGGCGCTACGCCCGGTGGCTGCGATAAGTACGGTACGCAAATATGCTCCGTAGGTGGCGATCTCATCAACGCAGCTTAGCACCTGCGTAGGCGCGAATGCAAGTGTTTGACATGAATTCCAGTGTGGTGGTGGGTAGATTCCACTAACGCCATCGTTGGGCTGCTGGCTGATTGAGAGGCGGTGCCTAGATAAAACCAATCACACTTGGTGCGACACAATACGATAGCAACCAAACTGACGGCCTAATCTTGCTATTTTTAAAAACCATATGCTCGTCTAGCTCTGTCTACATGGAGTGCTGGGGGAATGCTGATAGTGTCCACATTTTCGTTATGTATGTGACTTGCGTTGCAACACTCATTGAAAGCAGCGCACACGTACACGCTGTCGTGTGTCGTAGCGGTACTGTGGCCTAGTGCGTGGAGCGTGTGGTGGTGACCCTCGTTTGTCCGTGTATGCCGTGTGCGCTGTGTGGCCTCGTGGTGCGGTGGTTGCGTGCGGTGCGTGCATGTGCACTGTTGTGCGTCGTGTGTGTGCACGTACCACGTTTGCGCTGCGTGTGCCTGCTGTTGTGGTGTCACGTACACATGCCGTGCGTGGGCTGCGTGTTGTAGTGCGGTACACGCACGTGCTTGCGTTGCCGTGTGCACGTACACGTGTGGTTTGTGTGACGTACACGTGCCGTGCGTGCGTGTGCACGTAACCGTGTGTGTGTACTGTACACGCTGGCGTTGCGGTGCGTGCGTGCATGGTGGCACGCGTTGCGTTGCGTGTGCTGTACACGTAACACGTGCGCTGTGCTTGTGTGCGGTGCACGTACACGTGGCTGTACGCTGTGGCGGGGTACGTTTGTACGTAAGTTACTACGTACACGGCCGCGCGTGTGTGCGTGTGCACGTAAGCGTGCCGTGCGTGCGTGCATGTGCCGCTGCGTGCGCTGTGTGGCACGTACACGTGCGGGCTGGGGCCCTCGCCTCCGTGCGTGTGTACGTACGCGGGCGTGCTGTGCTGTGTGCACGTACACGTTGCAGTGCGTGATGTGCACGTGTGCGTGCGGTGCGTGTGCACGCGTACACGTGCGTGCGTGACGTGTGCCCGTACACGTGGCGTGCGCGGTGTGTGTGTTGGTGGTACGTACACGTGCGTGGCGTTCGGTGCATGTTGCCGTTGCCGCTGCGTGTGATGTGGTCACGGACACGTGCTGCCGTTGCGTTGCGCCCGTACACGTGCGCTTGCCGTGGACACGTACACGTGGTTGTTGCTGCACGTACCACGGCTAACTACGAACTCGTTATAACAAAAACAATTGCCAAGCTATGACAAAAGAATCGTCAAGGCGCCGCCTGTCTGTGTATGTTGTGTGTGTGTTGGTATTTAATTTCTTTTTAGTTGAGTGTAATTCTTAAGTTTTCTCAATAAAATAATGTATGCTCGGTATGCTGGAAAACACCTGCGGAAATTTCGAGTCGCGGTTTACTGGCACCTCGTCGCTCGTGCTAAAGTTTACGCAAAGCGTTTATGTATTTAGCTTTTGATGAATCGCACTAAAAGCGGCCTCCGCTTGCGCCCTACGCGGAACTCGTACGCACAATTTACTACAATGCTGTGTTGCATGATCGCCCGGAACTAGCAACGTCGATTTGCGGCTACACAAGATTACCGCCAAAACAGCTTGATGCAATCTATACCCCCTGCGGTACTGAATGTTTAATTTATGTTCAATGCTCTAAAAGTCCCTAACGCTAACAACTCTCCGTTGTCAGTTTGCTTTCTAAGTTTTCACTAACTTGCACCGTGCACATTTACCTCGACAACTGACCTGAGCATTAGCGCGACCGAAGCTCACGCGGTTGGGGTCCAGCGGGCGACTCCCGGCGGGGCCGTCCATGGGGTGGCAGCCACTGATGCTCCGGTTTTAAACATTATCGTACAGCTTGACGGGCTTATTTTTGTAATCGTTTATTTGCACACGTTGTCATTATTTGCGCCGAAATTGACGGAAATATCACAGGAATATAAATCAAGTATTTCATCATCTTCGTCATCACTATCATCTGCTCATCGTCTCACCATCATCATCATCACTATCATCGACATCATCATCTTCATACATCACGCATCATCATCACTTCATCAACACCATCACACACTTCATCATGATTATCATCATCATCGTATTTCATTATCACCTCATCATCATTACTTAATGACATCTCAAAGTGTTGATAAAGCCTACTATAAAGATTAAAGCACAAAGCAAGATTCATGTAGAGCTCTGCGTTTAGCAGAAATATGTGGACAGGTTCGCGATCTTCATCACACACACACACGTACACACGCGCACGCCGCACGCGCACACGCACACGCCACCGCGCCACACGCGCACCGCGCCACACGCGCACCTCGCGCACACGCAGCACACGCACCACGCACACACGCACACACGCCACACCACACCACACAACGCACACACGCCCACACACACACACACACAGCACACACCCAACCACACACACACACACACACACATGTAACGTGTGTTTTACAATGTTCATTGATTAGTCGAGTGAGAGATAGGAACTGGTAGTTGGTTGTAGCCATATAGTTCATAGCTAGACAGAACGTCGCGCATATTATGCACGGCGTAAGCATTGATGTTACGGCGGGAGTTGGCAGTTAGCGAGTTCTAGGCTTAGCATTTCTAGGGTGAATTGTTGAAATGAGCGGAGAACGGTTGGCGAAACTGACAAGACGAGCGTGGACATATGCTTCTTCAACATGTAGGTAGTTTTGGAGCGATATTATAGGAGAATATGAATAGCGAAGGGGGTTTTGGAGGATTCGGAGTGCTGGTCGCCAGAGAGTACGCGCACGTACCGCGCGCCCGTGTGCGCGGCGCGGGTCTTTGTCTGCTTTGTGCGATTGTCCGATGAGATGGGACTACACAGTGTACGATATTAAAGGTTATACAGTTTACACACAATTCTGGATTGGATCTTCTTCATCATTTCGACATCAACGCTCATTCCAACGTTACACACACACACACACACACACACACACACACACAGCACGCGCACGCACGCACGCACGCACGCACATACACCCACACAACACACACACACACACACGTACACACACACTCGGCAATCAGCAGAGCGTCCCTTGCGCAATCATGCGTGTTCCGCAAGATCTCTGTGTGAGATGGATGTCCGGACGGCGTAGCCTGGCTGCTCTCGTTCCGGAACCGGTCGCGTAGCCACGGCCTTATTTTTATTGGTGGCCAACCCGACAGTTTCAGGTGGCCCGACGTCGTTTCAGGTGGCCATTGGCACCCGGGCCACCGTTAAAGTCGAGCCCTGCCCCTATGCGCTATATGCATGCCAGGCTAGGCTAAGTACTAAGTTAGGCTCTGCGTGCGTACGCGTGCGTAGTGCAGTATAAGTACAGTGTGTGCATATGCAAGTACGGTACTGATATTCGACCCTCGATCGAGCCTCCGAAGCACAGGATCAGGCCCCGAAGTCCGCACGGTATTGGGGCAAATACGGCGCTGTGCATGTCTGTTTGCTATAGAGTAAGGCTATAGAGAGACTTCGTCAAACTTTGTAATTTTCCAGTAGGCAGATGAAATGTGGATAAACACTCTCTTTCGCTCTTTCCCTCTTCCTCTCCTCCTTATTCCCTCTTTCTTTTCTTGCATTTCTTTCCGATCATACAAAATACATATAGACATATATTTTCTGCCAAAAAAAGGGGGGGGGGCCGGCCTCCCGTACGCGCCGCCCCTGACTGGGGATGAAATTGTAGGTAGGGTTGAATTTTGTACCCTTTATGGGTTTATCGTACAGCAACCGCGCGACGCATTATGGGTAAAATGACGCCAGCGAAAGATAATCGGTGAGCAGAAATTATATTGTTATCATTACAAATCTAGCTAATCCATCAAATATACACAGTACCAGTGTTTAAAAACCATACAAGAAGGCAAGTCAATATGTCTACTATTGTTGTTGTATAGTATTTGTTGTGAAACGGGACACACAACAATGTCACATATTTTCCGATTACATACATAATATCGCATGTCACATGATGTATATTTAGCGACATTTGCTCTCAGCGACCACTTGAAATTTCCCCTATAGTTTGTTTGCTCTATGCATTCACCGATCACACCTATGACACCACTATACCATATATATATATATATGTACCATTATTATGACATCAATACATCTTTTTTCTTATACACAATAATGTATCATATTACTATCAGTATCACATCCTTGAGTAAAAATCTGAAGATGATGATTAGGCCGATGACATGGTTCTCGTCAGGCATTGTTGAGATTTTGATGAGGGATTTAGATTAATATTCATCTTTCATATACAAACCAATAGAAATTAGTGAGGGTATCAGGTCTTGTACATATGCAAAATAAGATTGAAAAATGTCTTAAAAACTTCTTTGTTGACAGTTTTTACTCAAATTTTTACTGTTTGTCTTCCATACATGTAGTGCTGACTGGGACTACATGTAATGCTCATATATGTAAATGTCACGGGAGAGCACAATCAACAGCCAATGGCAGAGTCATTAATCCTTTGATCCACCCTTGCGGGGAATTTTCTCTTTTCCGGCATCCATGCATCCTTGACACTGTGGATAATACGGATTGGTGTCCTCCACATGAAGAAGATGGTCTCCTGTAGAACAGTGTACACAGATGACATCGTAACTACATCCATAATACAGCGATTCAATTGGATCATGGCATCGATGGCTCCTCACCAAAATGTCTGGGAAATCATCAGGGAATTCCATTTCATCTGCAATTTAAAAAGAAATGGATACAGAGGATAAAAAAAGAAACTAACCAGAAAATATGAATGATGCAGTATAAAAAAGTGAAGAAAGAAAATGTGACTCGACCCTGAGACCTCCAGTTTACTAGCCCGGCATTCTGCCAACTGAGCTACCGAGGCACAACTGACGGTTGACAGAACAGATCTAAACTTCCATCCCTCGCTGTCACATGATCTTTTTTCGCCAGTCAGAAGCAATTTAAAAATGCCAGCACACAAGTAAACATCTATGTTCATAAACATGCATGCAACTTGGTTTCTTCAGAATAGTATAGGCCTACACCATCACAAGAAACAACTTTGAACAGTTATTCCAGAAAGAAACATTGTTTTTTTCCTGGGTTCACCCAGTTAACGTTTTCTTCTACAACTTTATATTAAGGATAGACCTTAAAACTCACCCAAGGTGGCACTAAAAGTGTAGTCCGCATCATCTATGATGCGCTTAAGTGTTGCTTTCTGGGTTCTTGAGAGCTTTGTTTTGCAGAACAGTAACCTCCATTGGTCACATTCTGAACACTGCAACATCATGTCAACATTGGTCACGTGCCTTTGACTTGGGGAAAATCCATGTCCAAAGGACGGTTTCTTCTTTGGTGGATTCTTGGACGGTCGATGATCCTCAGTTGTTGCGGTCTGGTAGACATCCTCGAAACACCTGTAATGCAACTCTTCTCCAGGATTCGCTGTTGGGTCGTTTCGAGTGCGAGTCTGGTCTGGTTCTGGGTCTGGTAGGAAGTCAACAGAGCGGAACTTCTCTCGATTCATTCTTGGAGGCCTGCAGATCAAACATCAAAAGATTCATCCACATAATATTAAGTGCTCAGGAAGGTCAATGTGAATCAAATATCCGCTACTACAAGTATATTCTAACAATACATTTGCAAGCATGTTTCTAGATAGACTACTAGTATTTAATTACCTGCAAATCTTGCACCCGGGTTGGCCACACTTTTTTATCTGGAACGTGTGATGTCTCTGGCGACAGCAATGATCCATGAAATCCTGGAGTTTTGCCTTTGACTTGACATCATTCTTGGTGGTGTCTGTGATCTGCAAAATACAAGACATGCCACACATGAGACAAAATATGGACTGAACAGAACTCAATGTGCATGTTTAGACATGACAACTATCATGTTTACTGCAGATGCTGATCCTAGAGACTGGATTCAGATATGGCTAAAAGGAAAAACAAGGTCATATCAGTTTCATACACTGCTGGTTAAATTATTATATTTTAAACTTGACATAGTATTTCCTTTTTTCAGCTGCAGTTTTACAATAGAGTGCAACACATACCTAAAGAGTTTCATTAACAGTCTGTAGGTTTGACCAGAGATCATGGACTTCTCGTTCAATGACAGGTTCAAAGACTTCAAATGGCTGGCCTTTAAGTTCTAAACGCTTCCTGAGACCAGGGATCATCTCACGGCATGGCGAAAGAGATTGAGCCAGCTCCGCCTTCAGGTCATCTGTGTCACAAGCAATCCTCACTGTTCAAGTTGTTGCATTTTTCTGAAAATCAATGGTGTTAAGCAGAAGTTACAAAGTAAAGTTAATTTAATTTATGTCACCATATTAAAGAGACGATATTCACTCAATCGTTCAGAATTTAATCGATGTTCTATGATTTTATTCATTGAGTAAATGAGATGAATGACTGTGACGTGTTTGCACTGTAAATAATTCCCCGATTTGGGAGATGTTACATAGTGAGGCCACATAACAAACAGTAACAAAACAGATAATTTTCAGTTGCCATACTACATGTAAAGAAAAAAAGAAATAAAAAAAAGTATATTCACCAATTTTCTTCTCAGACTCCTCGGAACCCTTCTGGCGCATAACACCAACACACTGCAAGCCAATGTTTACAATGCTCATGATCCTTTCAACGGGATTGGCCCAGGAATGGTTAGGCGCAGTGCGAGCAGCTATCAGGACGTCCAGGTCCATCTCCAGGAAAATGGCGATGAGTGATAGCTGCACACTCAGATACGTCAGGCGGTGATCAGGGCCTCCATCTGTATACAGGAAGAGAATGTGTTTCTCCATATCTGCAAAGAATGAAAGAAGTTACTTGGTTAAACTGTTTAGAGCACATCAGGAGAGATTGCAATCATCCAGGAGGCAGCACAGTCTCAGAGTAGATAGGACTACCCACTGGGTTAATACTCGTATTCATTCATGTAATTTGCAGATTTGAGAGTGGTGATCTCTCCTGATTGCACTGAACATAGATACATGTTGACCTGGACAATGTTTGACAACATCCCAAGTCGCATTCATCAAATTTTGTACACTTGAAATGCCTGAAGTTTTGCTTTTACAACACAGACCTGAAAACCAATGAAATGTTATTTGAAAATCTCTATACAAATACCTTCATTATCCAAGATGTTCTTGAGCTCGGTAGCATGGCGTAGAGGGCTGGATGCCTGGAAAACTGCGTCCTTCACACCAATGTGGACTTGTCCTCTGTAAAAGGAACCTTCCATAGTCTCGGGGATATCAATCTGAGGAAGAGAAAAATATCAAATAAAAAACATTTTTAATAGGATGAAAAATAAAAACTACCATACCATTCTAAGTGGACCTATGAAAATAGCATGGCAAATTGACTTTAACACAGTCTGAGTTGGCATTGACTTAGCTAAAGAATTTATAATTGATATAAAATTGAAACACTAAATCTAGGACTGTACAAAGACATCTCTGAAAGAAAATCTGAAACAAATTTTTATATCTTTAGCTGATGGAATTAAAATTGCAAAGCTCACCTTGAATATCACACTAGGTACCAATGATATGCAAGTGAAGTCGTGGTCTCCCACTGCAGCTATTTCTTCAGGTCCCACCAAGACTTGTTTGCCTCTCTCTGCAGCAGCCACAGGAAAGCCTGGCTCGCCGACCTTCACCTTATGCTTGTCGTACATGCTGATCAACAAGGCATCCTTTTTCATCGATACGGCCATTTCCCTCATGTAGCGCCAAATGGCAGCACAGTAATGAGCACCAGGATGGTCCTTCCCGAACAGACGTTTCTGTACCATCATCCTTATGTTCATTCTGCATTTGTAATATTTTCCTGCCTTGGTGTTTGGATGACGTGGCTGGAATTGCCATTTTAACCATTGAACACTTGGGATGGCAGTCCCCTCTGGTACCTTCTTGGAGACCTCTGCATGCAGGTCACGGAAAGAGATTGCATTGGCTAGGTAAGTCAAGTCTCCGTGTCTTCACTCTTGGACTGCTGTCCTGTCAGCAAGGTAAGTTTCAACTGCATCAAAAAACACTTGAAATCTGTCACTTGCATTTGTGTTGGTGTGACGTAGGTCCATGACAATGTCCTCATCCTCAGCCGATATAGCAACTTTCACTCGTTCATCAATGTCAGCCTCATTTAAATGTTCTGGTCCAGAACAGTCCCCTGTCAATGTCTTAAATATGCTTCGCAGCACATGTGATGGTGCACCACACAGTTTTCCATATGTATCAATGAACCTGGCCATTCGTGTTTTGAATACCGGAGTCTTTTTCTAACTTGCGAATGATTGAAAGATTCTCATTGGACAATTCATCCACCGAGCAGTGTTCAGGTATCTTCCATATAAAATACCGATCCCCAGCATTTCCTCCAGCAGCATGTCTATACAGCACACACTCTGCACACGCGAGTCCTTGTTTGAGCAGTTGGAGGTAGGAGTAGCGTTTTTTTCTGTCCACTGGCGAGTAGTCTGACATGGAAATAGGAGTGAATATCTCAGCCCTTCCAACTGCTTCATTCACCTCTGAAAGTGACGGATCCATCCTCTGTGTTTTTCGGAGGTGCTGAATAGATTCAGAATCTGTCATGCTTCTGGAGTGTTCTCCAGATCTGTATGCCGCCATGGACTCATTTTTCTCATCAAGGTAAGTGGCATAGCCATGCAAAATCGAAAGCAGTTCTTGAATAGCTTTCTGCAAGAAACAAACACAAACATTCAGAATTCAATATTATTATTATTAAAATTTAAATTAAATTAAAATTTTAAACTGTATAGCAAAATTTATACCTACCTTTACTTTCCATCTTTGACGATCAATCCATGTGGTAGACAACATACTCTTCAGAGTATTCACGTGCTTTCGGAGTGTTGAGACTTTCAGGTTTTCGGCCGCTCTTTTTCTGTGCTTGCTGGCCTGCGGTACATTGTAGCCTTTCAGTTCCCGAAACATTGCAGGCAATCTATGTGTTCTCGCCTCCAGTGTAGCATGGTGGCCGTCGATGCTCCACAAAATGTTAGTCAAATCCGTGACAGCGTGCATGTGACTGGGATTTGGCGTATCCCAACCCAGCGCCATGTCCTCAAACATATCAATCAATTGATTTTTTAACTTGTCCAATTGATTTCTTGGGGTCTCTATCCTTTTTGGGAGGCAAAGTCCATCTGGTTTTCCCCTTGCCGCTGATTGAATCATCATAGCGAACGCATTTCTCACAACCTTGGGCTTGTTTTGACAGACACAGTCATCAGGGTGCTCCTGCACGCTGCACACAAACTTCACAAAGTCCCCGAATGAGTTTTTGCATGCCTCAACAGGTAGTGCGGCAGTGCATTCGATAAGCGCATCGGGAGACTTACCCATGAACACCTTTGCAAGTTTAATATCAACCGCGGGGTCAAACTTTTCACAGGGCTGCTGCTGATCGTGGCCTGGTACATGCGGCCACTCAATGCATGGAGGCACGCCAAGCACATCCCCTCTTATCACAGTCTCAAAAAATCTTTCAAATGTCAAAGTTTCATCAAAACTATCTTCCACTTGACAAACAGTCTGCTGCCATGAATCACACAAAGTGAAAGAATCATTTTGACTGACAGTGCGGCCAAAAGCGATCGGTAAATTCCTACGGATGAATGGCTGTCCTGAGCATAGATACTAACCCAAGGGGATTGCTAACTCACGGTTTGCCGCTTGGAAACGCTAGTGTTGTGACTGGTGGCGCGACCGAGGCTGATACGGCGGCTAGGCGAACTATGATAAATGGCTGCATCGAAGTGCTAAGCACACGGGTAGCCGGTACGGGGAGATTACGGTACGCATATATTTGCAAATATATTGACTAATCCTGCGTCAATAAACTCAATATTCACAGAGAGTATAGCTAAGACATGTGTCTATAGGTATCTAGAATTTTAGAAATTTAATCATTTGTAATTCACTTCCGCGCGCATATAGAATTTTATATTTGCTATATTGACTAATCGTGCGTCAATAAACTCACTATTTACAGAGAGTATGAATTCAAGCCGGTAAGGGAGATCATTTGCATAATATATTCTAGATACATATATTATAGACACATGTCTTAGCTATACTCTCTGTGAATATTGAGTTTATTGACGCATGATTAGTCAATATATTAGCAAATATATGCGTACCGTAATCTCCCCGTACCGGCTTGAATATAGACACTCCCTAAGCACACTGATCTCTATAATAAAATCTTTATTATTATTAAAGTTATTATAGTGATCAGTGGCTAAGCATCATAAGTTGCATCATAGGAGGAGTATATGTTGGAGAGGTGGAAGAATTCGATTCAGAAGAATTAATTAAGAATGGAAGATATAAGTTGGAAAGGTGGAAAAAACTGCTGTGTGCCGGGATGCACAAATTCCCAAGGAAAAACTTATGGCACGATGCCAGCGATCAGCTATATGTCTTTCCCCAAGGACACTCCTGACAATCATGAGTGGAGAGAAAAATTGGTAATAGCTGTCGCTAGGCAGGATCAGAAGTTTGATCCGGCAAAGCACCACATCTGTACTGATCACTTTGAGAGATCACACTTGCTGTTCAGTGGTAAGCTTTACTAATCATTGTATAGGTACACTGATACAGTCCTATAAAATATAATTGTAATATACATATGTCTTATAATTAACACAAGTCATAATAAAGGATGTAGCGATCTACGTGTGGTGACACTGACAGTGTGCATTTGTTTGTTTTCCAAATACTGACATATCACTTATTTCATTACAGTAAATTAACATTGTAACAAGGTTTAAAATTAGTCATTACATCATTCTGAATGTTCTATTAGGCAGAGGCTTAAAAATAGCAAAGGGAAGACTGCCCTCCCTAAACTTGCCGCATAAAAGTGTGGAAGTGCGGAAGCTTCCGCCAAGAACGAAGCCAGTAAGTTAAAGTAGTTATTCTATTCCTTATTTTGATAAAATGATTTATTTGTTTTTGGATAAATACTTAAATCGTGCTTGGGTTATTATAATATCTTTTTTTAATCTGAACCATAATATTATCGTGATTTATTAGCCTCGTCTACACGACGAACCTTAACTCGAGTTAAGCTAACTCGAGTTAAGCGTGCGTGCATGCGGGTGCACGTACACGTGCGTGCGTGCGTACGTGCGTGAGTACCTACACGTGCGTGCATGCGTGCGTGTGCACGTACACGTGCGTGCATGCGTGCGTGCGTCCGTGGGTGCACGTACACGTGCGTGCGTGCGTGTGTGCGCACGCGTGTGCAGGTACACGTTTGTGCGTGCGTGCGTTCTTGTGCAGGTACACGTGTGTGCATGTGTGCGTGCGTGCGTACATGCGTGCGTGCGTGTGTGCGCGCGTGTGCATCTGCACGTAGACGTGCGTGCGTGCGTGTGCACGTACACGTGCGTGCGTGTGTGCGCGCGTGTGCATGTGCACGTAGACGTGCGTGTGTGCGTGCGTGCGTGCGTGCGTGTGTACGTGTGTACGTATACTATTCGCTAACTCGAGTTAAGCGTCTACACGGGGCCTTAACTCGAGTTAAGGAGAGTGTCCAACTTTTACATCACAGTAGGTGTTACATTACCTCAAAACGTGGATCATCTTGGCTCGTGTATGCTGCTAGATCTGGTTTTCTTTGAATGAACGAAGCACCAAAAGATCGAGTATTCAGGCAATCAAAGAAACGGTCAAAGAGCTTCAGAAACGCAGCCGTTTCTGACATAGTCTCTTCGCAGTAGTTTTGCATGATGTTCGCAACCGATGCACTTATGACCTGAAACATATTCAATTAGAGAAGTCTGTTATTCAGTAACATTGTGTCCAAGAAGATGTGGCCTTAGGATGCGTTGTTTTCCCATTCAGAAAACTGACAGCGAATGTCACTAACCTGTGTAGCATACGTAAACCGACATCTTGCAGCTGATGTCAGATGTATGTGCTCATAGGTGAGGTGTGTAGGGCATACGCAACTGAGCTGATTCCCGTCAGCTCGTACACACGTTTGACATGGCTCCACAGATCTCTTTTCCATTGTTCTGAAAATAAAATACGTTACTCACGAGAACTGCTACATACAAAACTGTAATTAGTAAATATCTCAAGGTTAAATACATATATTCACATTTATTTTCATACTCACCACAGCAGTCTTGTTCCTCCATATGCTGACTTCTCTAGATGTTTCTTATGGTTTTGATAAGATGGGAGGATCAGAGATGAAAATATAGCATTCTGTCGTCATCAGCATAATGGTTTAGTAGCTGAAGATACAAAAAAAGCTATCTCCCCGTTGACATAGTATCTCTTATTTGGTGGCAAAGTCGTGAGTAAGTTTCCGGATTCCTGAATAGACAATTAAAAAGGTAATCGAGTAAATACTATTGTTAAAAGTTGTTCTTTCTCGCTAATATGCGATACATTTGATCAATAGATGTTTGCATTAAGTATATTATAATTATATAATTTATGGCAAAGCTGGGGTATAGAGATTAGCATGTAAAACAAATATTTTAGAATTATATATCAGCTCACTTCAAAGACTTTCGCCTGATACCCTACTCTAGGGGGGGAAGCAAATTAGTGTAGTCCGCAAAGTAGAATCGTTTGGCAGATGAAAGCACCCCTGTTTTACGCAGTGCCCTCGTACGCCATTGGTGACTGGCAATGTAGTATATAGCATATCTATTAAAAAATAAACAATGGTCAAAAACCTGTAGTGGTATTTAGTAAGGTCCAGAGTGATAAACAGTTATGTCATGTCCTTAAAATAACACTTTCCGTATCATCATTGGATGCCAGCGCATTCCTCTTGGATCTCGTGAAGCGGCTTTTTTTTGTTTCTGACCAAAACAGACTTAAGAATTCGTCCTTGATTTCAGCTTTCACTGTTTGTAATTATGGTTGTTTAGTCCTACCTGCAATCGAGAAAATGTTTCAAACCAAAGATCATGAATGCCTGGGAAACTTGTGTCGGTGTACAGTAGGCTTGCAAATTTAAAAACCATTAATATTTTCAGTGTCTCAATATATTGACTATAAACACCCTTTATATGATTAAATATCTAATCATCTTAAAACATCAATAACAGTATCCAGCAACCTACTTGCACTTCACGAGAGACTGGGACCGATTCACGAGCTAGACGGTAAGAAATGTTTTCTCGTTCAGTCACTGCATCCTTCAGCTGGATACGGTACGCCGCAGCTCTTTAATAGGGCCTCTTTTGGGACATGGCTTAGACGTGTTCGTGAGGTGATTGGTCGTTTCTCACGGTCAGAGATCTTTTTGATTTCGTCAACACAAATTGAACAGTGACCTGTAAAGGTTATTTTATAAAATAAATCCTTTAAGATTCGTGGCATTTACTGTGAACACCTATGTGCAACATCCAAAAGTCTATATAATTCTCAAGATTAGTTAAATTATAATTGCTTGTTGAACATAGTACCTGGTCTATCCACAATTAGCCTGCACTTTGGCGATCTTTTGCTGTCTGCAGAGCACCATAGCAGATTTTGGAGCTTCTTCATCACCATCTCAAGGCCTGAATGCTCCACATCAACTTCCAGCGTCTTCACTAAGTGTCCTGGAAGGTAGAGATTTGGCAAACGCACTGAAAATCTCTTATGATTTATGATTTATCATAACAAATGTATCACTTGACAGTTGCTTACCTTTCCAGCTGATGGTGGCATCTAAGGCACCATCGAATGACAACTTCAGAGGCAGGCTGTCATCCTCTTCTCTCAGTGCGAGGGTGAGGCGCTCATCATTGCGAATGAGGATCCAAGTTTAGTGACCTTCACCGCAGCCTGCTGCAGCTCAGCGTAGTTGCGCAGTTTAACTAGCTCTGGAATTGGGGGTGCAGGTCGGAAAGTCTAGAATAAAAACATTATTTTAGTATGTCAAAGACATTAATCATTTGAAAATTAGATTAAGTGATGCTGAATTCAATAATATGGATGATTAGGGTACGTAACCTTTCCATGATGAACATACATATAAGCCGTAGCTGTAACTATATGCACACAATAGCCTTGTCTACATGACGAACCTTAACTCAAGTGAAGCGTCTACACGGGGCCTTAACTCGAATTAAGATGACTCGAGTTAGCGTTAACTCGAGTTAGCTTCAACCTCGGCCAGTCGATCGAAGGTTAATGCTAACCTCGAGTTTACCG